TTTGGCAATCATGATTGTTAAGGATTTTCAACTGACAACAAACAACAAATAAAGAAACCAAAGTGCATCATTCTGAAGTACATAGACAGACTCACTTGTGACTAAGGAGGACTGTAAGGAGTAAGGCCTGTATTTAATGAACTTCTGCCAAATTTGATATTTGATTTCATTTACTTTATTGAGTTGAACCTCAGAATAAGGGAATCAAATCAAATAAAACAAAAAATATACAGATGCCATAGGGACAGTTTAGAGAATTATTAGTTGTATGCACTGGCTGAAAAAAGTTACAGACTGGAATGTATGTATTGATTTTGGTATGCTAGTGTACATTCAGGTTAGGGTTGGTTGATAAGCTACCATTGATCATTGGTTGCGCAGGTGTGTTTGTCCGTGCACATGTGCAGAGGCACACACCAGTGTCAGCGGATGCATGGAAGAGCTGTTTACAAAGGATTATACAAAATTACCAGTTTGTGATTATTTTAGCTTTAAATCAGGTGCCACTGACAAGCTGAAGATAAATATATCTATAATAAATATATTAAATAATAAATTAATTAATTAAATACATAATAAAGTTAGTCAAACTAAAAAAAGGCCAGTACCATTTCCAAACTCAAGATGGACTGAAAGAATGAATAATTGAATCATCCGATAGGCTAAGTCCAAGTATTGGGAAGAGACAAATTGTATCAGAAGATCTTCACAAAGTAATAAGCCTCAAAGCTAGTTAATATCGGGGCTAGCCAGTTAAAGACAGCTAATGAGTTGTTAACTTGTCATGTTATACTCATTCTGCCTAAATGACGTAATGGTAAAAACAGAATATTGGCTATAGGCCTGTCAGCACAGTTCCTGTTGGTGTATCAGTTGAAGTCCTAAATCTATTCTTATCTCCTGATATGTACTTGTTGCTTCTGCTTTTTTACTCCCAGGTGATAACATGGCTCCCTTCACCACAGTGTGTGGTATGTGGGAGGGTTTCTGAAGCTCAGAGGTGGTTACATATTAATGAATAGCAGCCTCTCTGTTGGCTCAGCCTTGGTCAGTCATGTGTGATATGACAAATGCCTATCAGCTTCATACTGATTAACCACTGTGTTTGGGTGATTTTGTTTTCATACCCAGTGTTTCAGCCTGGTGGAATCATGTAGCTAAATCCCTGACTCAAACTATGTAACCCCTGATTGTGCACTCTTATAATTGTATTGCCAGTAGCAATGACTTCATTGAACCTATTTTCCAAATGTGTGCAGTATTGTGCTGTCATCAGGAAATGCCTTTGGGTACAGAGATGAAATGGAGAGGGGGTTTGTCTGGTTTTCACTTCAAGCTTGCTCAAATTGTAACCTTTGGAGAGTTTTTCCTCAGAAGCTCATTTTAATGGTTCCATCAAGAGAATTATATCCCTTTTTCCAATGCCTGACTTTTCTTTCTAAGAGATCTTGGCAGTGCTCCTCCAAAATAACTGATGCTGGGAGAAGAAAAGAGAAAAAGGCTCTTTGGCCTCTCAATGGGGTTCTTTTGTGTTCTCAAAACCCACTGACATAAAATATCTCACAATTTACAAATTACAAATTTTAGCACAGATACTAATACCAAACAAGATCTAACCTTTTACACTGAGTCATGTTGGGATATTTCTTGTTGTAAGCAAGTCCTCTTTAAGCAATACCACAGATTGTGGTTTTGATAAGAGCAGCAAAATTTCAGTAAATCAGTCAGGTTTGATCCTGCACTTTAGGTCTAATGACTCGCTGACCACGACTTCAGTTCCCACAGTTAACTTTATTGTGGCTGCACATAACGAAGTAAGCTGTGCCTTGAGTTTGCAAACAGCGGCAGAGCGGCTTGGAGTCCACGTCCAAATTTGCGTCCTTTTTTAGGAGCTATCGCAGTGGGGCAGTGGTTGTATATATTGGGGAAGGGAGCGCAAGTAGTAGGCTGTTAGATTGAAGTGGGCTGAGGTCATCAGCGGTAAGGCGAAACCCCATAAACACGATGGCGGGCACAGCAAAGATGTACTTTTCCCTGTTCAGTGTAAGTTTGTGGCTGGTGAGGACATGGAGCACCCTAGTGAGGCACTCTTCATGTATTGCCAGTGTTGTACCATGTACCATTTGGTCATCCAGGTAGATGACTACTCCTGGAATGCCCGCGAAGATGGTGGCCATGATTTTCTGAAAGCAGCTGGGAGCGGAGCGGAGGCCAAAAGGCATGCGGGTATGGCTCATACATACTGTACTGACTGATTTTTCTCTCCAAAGAAATTAACCTGTCCACATTGATTGCAGAGAGGGTGGCCCTACTGGCACTAACAATGTCTCCACTGTGGAGAACACTCTCACTCTAGAGACAGAGGTTGATAAAGGGTTGTATGACTTGCTTGCTAAAATGCAGACAAGAGGGAACTTTGTAATGGGGCTCGATTACTTCCAGTGTTTGAACCCTGCATTCTCAGCAATAGAGAATGGTTGCATGTCCACTGCTATTAAAATGTCGCATGGCAGCTTTAATGCCGCGTGGAGCTGTGCTTGCGCGGAACTCGTTTTTTCCACTAATGTTAGTGTAATTTCCAATGTTAGTGGACATCACTCTGGGGATGCCATTCAAACGAGTCTGCATGTTCGATCTGCTACCAGCTACATAACCGACAGCAGTTGTGTATGATCCAGTTTTTGTCCGTTGTCATTATAGTTGACTGCAACACTGAAGTGTTCCCACACAGCAAACTTAAATGATGAGGGAGGGTCTTCACACTCTGGTTTGTCTACTGTCCCTATATGTCCACGAGCTACAGCACATCCGGTCCTCGGAATTTGAGAAGCACACAAATCAATGCTCTTGAGTTCCTCCACAGGACGTGTCTAAAAGCTGCTTATGAAGTTTCTTCTCAGCCATTGTGGGGTCAAAGCAAGCAAATGTGTCCAGGTATCAGCTGACCTTTTCTGTAACAGCAGCCAAACACGAATTGAACGCAGCTTTGTCTTTATATTTATACAGCCCTAACCTCATTATGTCGTGTCTTTAATTAAGAGATTCTAGGAATTGTCAGTTTGTTGTTTTTATTTGAAACTTGTTTATGATGTTCTTTCTATTTTCCTTTTCCTTTGAGTTATCCTTATCATAAACAGACCTCCTCTATTTCCTAAGTAAGTGAACAGTGATTATAGCAGGAGTTTCAGGTGTTGCATGGGAATAACCTCTGAGTGAAAGCCATTTGATGTCATTGTATTTATGGTATTTATCTGTGAAATTTGAGAAAAAATAAATTGATTTGAACCACTTCTTTCTTATAAAACGTTTTAAAAATGCACAGATAATCTTTGTTCCAATGTTTTCTGAGTGTATTTATGGATTGTTGATATATGTGTGTTGAGATTTTACTGTTACGGCTCAGAGAAGAAAGGAAGTGTTGTTGTTATATACCAACAAATGGAAGCTTTGGGTTTTAAAGTATGCTAGTTACCCCATGAGCTATGTGTCAAGTAGCTGCAGCATCCGCCTGTGTTGGTCTGATCAAACAACAATAATTAACTCTGCTGGTTTTAGAATTTCTGCCTGCACCAGTCCCTTCCAACTCACACTGTATCTTTGCCCTATGTTTATCGTTCTGCAGCCACTTAACCCTCCTATTAACAGCTACCTTGGAATGAAAATACATTCTAACATTTTGCTGCCACTTGCAAAAACAAAATTTGTAGACCGGCAGATATAGATAATATAATGATTATTATTATTTATTTGTATAGCTCTTTTCTTAATAATGTCACGCAGTGCTTAGCACATAAGCTACATATGAAATAATGTATTAAACAAAATAAAACAAATGAAAACTTTAGAAATAAATTAGATCAAAAACCTGTTTATATAAATTGCCCAAAGCTTTCAAAAAGAGAGGTGCTAAAGTGACATTGAAAAGAAGCTAGAGGTAGTGTGTCTGAGTTCAGTGAGCAGAGATCCAAATTGTAATGGCCAAAGCTCGACAAAAAGGTGTTGTTACTTCAAGAGTCTCAGCAGCCCTGTTACATCAACTGCTAATGGAATGGGTGCTGGTGTTATTGTGATTGATACCTGAAGAATTTCAGTAAACACTGAAAGATAGCACATAAATGAGAAAACAACATTTTATGAAAGTGAAAGAGAGGGGTTCAATTTATCCCTGTACTGTAAGTGCAGCTATGTCCTCAGGAAAGCAGGCCAATGCACTAGACAGTGTTTCTCTGCTATTCATAAGAAGGAGGTGGTGATTGTTTTTCTGTGATGGTTAAAATGTTATTAATGAAGAAGGTAATGAAATCATTAGAGTTAAATGAATAGATGATTGAGTATAGGACTATGACTCCTTGTCAGCCTGGCTGCAGTGCTAAAGAGGAACCTGGGGTTGTTTTTTATTTTGTTCTATTAATAATGAATAATAGGAGGTATTGGCATTTCAGAGGGCTTTCTTGTGAGTTATAAAGACTATCTTTCTTGGCTAGGTGAATATCATATAATAACAATTTTTTGGGGATTTCCAGTGTGCATGTATAAAGCTGTTGATGAGGCTTTCAAATGCACTGCAAATTTGTCCAGGTCAAGTGTCGATTGATAGGTCAGGTTTGGAGGGCAGCACCATCGGCTCGCGTCAATGTTTGTTTCATTGCCAGATATTGACCACGGTCCTGATGCATGTTTGGATCAAAATCAATCCATGATCATATGTTAATGCATCAAGTTTTGCAATCAATAACATTGAATCCATAATCTATATCTTATTTAGATAAATCAGTCATTCATCATGTTATAAATGACACCATGAAGAAGTCATTCTGAAGTGGCATTAGCATTGACTGATTTGAGTATACACAGTGCATGCAGGATATACATGTCCCTTCTAATGCATTTCATTCTACTTGTGTTACTGCACCTTTTTTTTTATTTATTTTTTTTTATTATCGATTGATTTCTTTTTTCCAAAATGGAATGCAGACTTAAAATTATATTTTATTTTTCAGATTGCTCAGAAATATGACCCACTAAAGGAGGAGGAACTGCGCTTCTGGATTGAGGAGATGACGGGAATGTCTATTGGAGAGAACTTCCAGAAGGGGTTAAAGGATGGAGTCATCCTCTGCGAGTAAGTCCTCTCTGTATGTGCGTGTTTGCATGCATGATTTTGCTGGCTTTGGTGTTACGATTCAAAATTGCAGAGATGGCTAAATTTTGCTGAGTATCACACTGCATGATTCACTCACAGGTCCAATGTCTGTAGGCAGAAAATGTGTTCAAATGTTTCCCTCTGACATACTTGTTTTCCTTCCTTTAGGTTGATTAATAAGCTGAAACCGGATTCAGTAAAGAAAACCAACTATTCACAGTTGAACTGGCACAAGGTAATTCCTGTTCTGAGCTGGTAGTAATCCAGGGGTTTCAATTTAAAGCAACTCAGAGGTCAAACTTCATAAAGACGACATTCAGCTTTAAGACTAGTTATTGTCAAGTGTGCTCACTCATGGTATTTCCAGTACTTTTCACTAACAGCTTTATGTGTTCTGTTATTGCTTGGTCCTGCCTTTGTTCAGGAGACACAGTTCCATCCCTCATTACTTTTCTCTGTTGCTCTCTGCAGCTGGAAAACCTTGGGAATTTCATCACAGCTATCCTGGCTTATGGTCTAAAGCCCAATGACATCTTCGAGGCCAATGACCTATTTGAAAATGGGAACATGACTCAAGTCCAGACCACACTGCTCGCACTGGCAAGCATGGTGAGTGAACAGACAGTATAGAAGGTTATTGGCTTCTGAAGAACACATTTTATGCTTATAGGTCAAAAATCGAGTGTCACTTCAGTCTGATGACCATCTTTTGTTC